TCCCGTTGTTTCCGCTATGTTTTTTTTCTTAACAGTATTCATGCTGTTATTTTTTTTTTCCAAAAAAATCATTTGCACTGGTCTATTGTAGCTATCTATATAGATGATAGGATTTTATTGTCCAATGACTAAACTGCTAAAAACAGTCTAAAACATCAGTTAATTTCACAGTTCCAAATGAAGGATATTGGAGAAGCCAGATTTATACTAGGCATGCAGATTACACGTGATTACGTGATAGAAACAATATCTGGGAGACTTGAAAAGCAATAATTCAAATCGAACAGCCTCTGCACTTACACTAATTTCACATGTCAGAAGTCTGTCAATGTAGGCTCATGCTCCATAGATCTACAATCAATCTATGCTGCGCTTTGTAATTTCGATAAAAGGGGCCAGGACCTGATGGTATATCATCCATCCTCTTGGAAGTTTGTAGATGCTTACTGGCAAAACCCATACATATTACCTACATATGCTTTTCGGTGAGTCTCTCAGATTGGGAGTATTTCCAGAACGGTGGAAGCATAGCTTTATAACTCTAAATCATAAAAGTGGTAATAGATCTGATGCTGAAACATAGACCTATATCGATCTTGAATTCAATACCCAAGTTGTTTGAGGGTCTAATTGTCCAGCGGGTGAAGAGGGATGTATTTTCGATTCTTGTTGAGCAACAGCATGGGTTTTGTCCCAGCAGAAGCAAAAGGACTACTATCATAGTTTTTACACAGTTTGTGCTGAATGCGTTGGAGAATCACTCTCAGGTGGATGCGATATATACTGACTTCTCCAAGGCATTCGACACGGTAAATATAACGTTGTTGTGTGATATGCTCAGGGCACTGGGATTTCATGGTGTCATGTTGCTCTGGCTTAACCGATAGAACTCAGTCTGTGCGTTTAACTGGTGTAGTGTCAGACGAGTTTATGGTTACATCGGTGTTCCCCAGGAAAGCCATTTAGGTCCGTTTATTTTCAATTTGTTAATAAATGACTTGGAAGTGTACCTTAAGTGCCCCTTTTTACTGTTCGCCGATGATTGTAACATTTATATCTAGTATAATTCATTCTGTGACGGATTACGGATTGTGAGAAACTTAAGACGGACCTGGATGCCTTTGCTGGGTGGTGCCAAACGCAACGCTAATAAGCTGGATCTTAGTGTCACCAAGTGTAATGTGATGTCATTTTCGCGTAGCAAAAATAAAATAGAGTTTTCATATCATATAGATGAGGACAAATGTTGGGCATCGTTGAGAAGGTTGGGTATGGTCCTTTATACAAAATTGAGTTTTCACTTACATTATGATCATATAGGTAATAAATATTGCCTACAGGACCTTGGGTCTAACTTGCAGAATGGGAAATAGCTTTTCAAATATATATACGTCAAAACTATTGCTTCAAGCACTAGTTAGATCCATTCTGGAATATGCTTCGCCTGTTTGGCAATGAGACTCATGTTAAAAGCATTGAAATGGTGCAAAATACATTTTTATATTTTATGTCTAGAAAATTAAATATGTTTTATCCAAAATAGACTTTTTTGTACAATCCAGAAATACAAGAGCAAAGTGCACTTTTATGCAATCCTTCCATATTGGGCAATGAATTTAACATAGATTTTTTTTTAGCATTACGCTTCGCGGCCTGAGGACTGTGCTTTCTGAGAGCATTACTTGAGATTTGAGATGACAGTCCACTGCATTACATTTGTTTTATTGATTTGTCATTCTGTTTATTGATTTATATTTAGTTAGGTTTAAGTTTAATTAAGTTAAATTTAATGTATTATATTGAAATTTAGTTGTGAATGATAAATAAATAAATAAATAAATAAATAAATAAGTAAAATAATATCGTTAAATCAAAAGTTATACATAGAAAATATACTGAAGAAATACAACATGTAAGAGTTTAATCCAGTAGATACTCCAGTTATGCTTAGTGAAAAATTATCCAAAAGTATGTCACAAGAACTGGAGCTGAAATTCAGCAAATGTGCAATAATGTACCATACCTAGAATTCGTAGGAAGTCTACTATTCGCAGCACAAGCATCAAGGCCTGATATATCCTACTATACGCTGTAAATAATGTCAGTCGATTTACACAAAATCCAGGACATATTCACTGGACTGCAACAAAACGTATCCTTAGATATTTAGAGGGTACCATGAATTACATAATAGAATTTGATGGCACTAACAAGAAGAAAAGTGAAATTGTTGGCTATGCAGATGCTGGTTGGGCCAGCAACATAGATGATCGTAGATCAGTGACTGGAAATTTTTTCCTTAAAAATAGAACAGCTACATTTCATGGGACAAGTCACAGTCACAGTCACAGTTGCTCTTTCGACAACAGAAAGTGAGTATGTGGCTATGAGCATGGCAGCACAAGAGCAAAAAATGGGGCCTACCATGCAAGAACCATAGATGAAAAATTATTACAAATGATATGTCTCTACAGAAAAGCAAATAGCAAATTCTCTGACTACAGCTGTTGATAAAAAGAAAACTGATTTGTGTGCGAAGAATCAAGGTTTAGGTTATTAACTTAAATAGAGGGGTTGTTGAAATATATTTAAAATACCAGTAATGAAGTTCATGTAATAAGATAGTTTTCAGCTTTCATATTTTCTGTCAACACGTTATATTTTATTAAAACTATTTTTGCGTTTATTAAACTTTCACTTGACTCCACAAAGATTCCCTGCCAACACAATTGGGACCTCCTAAACTCCATATACTAGATTATTCTGAGATTGGAACCCGAAATAATCTATGAAAAAAGGCATTTAGAAAATTTATAAATTTACCTCAAATTGCTTAATACGATTTTATTTCTGGAACTATAAGTCCAAATGAACTGAAATTTTCAGGGATTGTTGTCCTTCACTGGGATAAGAAACACTGAAAATTTCAGCTTTCTATCTATGAAAAACTTTATGTTAGGATTTTGCGTTTATATGATCAGTTGGGATTCCCTAAACTTCATACACTAACTTATTCTGAAATTTGAATCTATGAAAAAAGTCGCTTTAAAAATTGAAAAATCTATAAATATACCCCAAATTGCTTAACGCCATTTTATTTCTGGAATCATAAATCCAAATGAGCTGAAATTTTCAGGGATAAGAATCGCTGAAAATTTCAGCATTCTATCTATGATAGAAAAAAGGTATGGATCCTCAAAGTTTTTAAAAATCCAAATCATAAGGTAGCCACCTTAATACTAAAATGATGAAATTTCAAATTTCCTTATGTTAAGTTTTTGAGTTTATATGATCAGTTGGGACTCCCTAAACTTCATACACGAAATTATTCTGAAATTGCAATTTATGGAAAAAGGCACATAGAAAATTGAAAAATCCATAAATATACCCCAAATTGCTTAACGCCATTTTATTTCTGGAATTATAAATCCAAATGAGCTGAAATTTTCAGGGATTGTAGTCCTCCACTAGGATAAGAATCGTTGAAAATTTCAGCTTTCTAACTATAATAGAAACTATAATTAAAAAAAAGAAATTTCAAATTTCTTTACGTTAAGATTTTGCGTTTATATGATCAGTTGGTACCCTCTAAACTCCATACACTAAATTATTCTGAGATATGAATCTAGAAATTTCAGGGATTATAGTCCTCCACTGGAATAAATATCGCTGAAAATTTCAGTTTTCTATCTATAATAGAAAAAAGTTATGGGTGTTCAAAGTTTTTAAAAATCCAAATCATAAGGCGACCTAAGTAGATACTAAAACGATGAAATTTAAATTTTTTTTATTTTGAGATTTTGTATTTAAATGATCAGTTGGAAGTTGGAACCCCCTTAACTCCAAACACTAAATTATTCTGAAATTTTAAGCCGAAATCTATAAAAAGGCACTCAAAATTGAAAAATCAAAAATCTATAAATATACCCCAAATTGCTTATCGCGATTTTATTTCTGGAATTATAAATCCAAATGAGCTGAAATTTTCAGGGATTGTAGTCCTCCATTGGGATAAGAATCGTTGGAAATTTCAGCTTTCTAACTATAATAGAAAAAAAGTTATAGGCCTTCAAATTTTTTAAAAATCCAAAACATAAAGTAGCTAGTACTAAAATAATGAAATTTCAAATTTTTTTTGTATCGAGATTTTGTGTCTAAATGATCAGTTGGGACCCCTTCAATTCCATATATCAAATTATTCTGAGATTTGAAGCTAAAATCTATTAAAAAGGCAATCAGAAAATTGAAAAATTCATAAATCTATCCCAAATTGCTTAACGCGAATTTATTTCTGGAACTATAAGTCCAAATGTGCTAAAATTTTCCGGGATTGTACTCCTCCACTGGGATAAGAATCGCTGAAAATTTCAGCTTTCTATCTATATTACAAAAAAAGTTATGGGCGTTCAAATTTAAAAAAAATCCAAATCATAAGTGCGAAAAATAATGATGAAATTTCAAATTTCTTTACGTTAAGATTTTACGTTTAAATGATCAGTTGAGGGACCCTCTAAACTCCATACACTAAATTATTCTGAGATATGAATCCGGAAATTTTCAGGGATCGTAGTCCTCCACTGGGACAAGAATCGCTGAAAATGTCAGCTTTCTAACTATGATAGAAAAAAAGTTATGGGTTTTTAAAAATCCAAACCGCCATCATTAAGGTAGTCTATGAAGGTTCGTACACAGAGAGAAAAATAAAATCATAAAAAGTTGAAAACCAAGCAAGGATTATCTATTCTGATTTGCTATTATTCTGAGCTTTTTTAATTAAAAAAAAATAAATTAGGTATACCAAAGGCAAAGGTCCTGAGTCCAAAACCAGGAGTTCTGACAACACAAGCTGAATTGACTAATCATTTTCAAGCAGAAAGACACCACTTGGTTTCACAGGTTAAAGCTCCAGCAAATCATGTCTCGGACATTCTCAAAATGAACTTGAAAAAAGCTACACTTTTTCCAACTCCATCAAAAAATAAAACCCAAAATATTGTTATTATGGCAAACTTTATTTTCATTCAAATAAATACGTGATTCTTAATAGATAATTAATTATATAAATATAATAATTACATATTAATTTCCTAAATAATATAATCATTGGCTCGTATAAAAAAGTCATTAATTGCAAATTACTTAACACTATAGCTATTTACAGTTTTTTTTTTTTGATTATCGTGCTCTAAAAACGCCTATATCAACATTATCAGTCTTGGTCATAATATTAAATTAAATTATTATTATAATCAAACTGGCACACAAAATACTAAGAATAGAAAAAAAAATCACAATTTAATTTTTTTTACGGAATTTTGTTAGTCTAGAAAACACACACAAAAAGAGATCAAACTTTCTTGTACTAAACAATGGCAAAAAAATTTTGGTATATTTTGAGGTAGAACACCATAATAATTACAAATTTTTAATTAAGTAAATTAATTGCACATTTAAGTGACTAGGGGACTTGAAGACAACTACTACTATATACAAATCAGTCAAAGTACATATATACACAATTCGAAAATTACTGCGCTTAATGCGCTGCTCTTGCAATATGCAAGAAAAACTTCACTTTATTCTGACATTCTTCTCCGCACATGTTGCACGTAAAAGGATTACTATACCCATGATAACCCATGTGGATTCTAAACATGACTTCATCTCCAAAACAAATACCGCAATATTGACAAGCAAACTCGTAGGTGTTGTTGTTTTTAGCTTTTTCATCAACATTGTCCGGAGTCAAAGTTGTGTTTTCTGTGTCATTAGCAACAACTTCAACATTATCAAAGGCAATCGTCATTGCTTCATCATCTTCAGAATCACCATTTTCTGAAGAATGATTAGACTTGTTGGTTAAATCTAATGCACCATTTTGTTGAGGCTGATGCTCAGGTTCATCTTGTTGCTGTTGTGGTACAAGAGCAGGATTTTGTTTGGCAAGTTCCTCCAAACGTTCCCTGAATAAGTTTTGGAAGTTCATCATTATTTCCGGATTGGGTAAACCTGCTGGGAATAATGGCAAGGGGAATGGCATCATTGGATTTTGTCCAAGAAGTGCTGGATTCATCAGCAATGGCATTTGTGGTGGCGGCGATGGATTCGAAGGTTCAGGAAAATTAGTTCTTGATTCGTTGGCTGAAGATTTCTTGACTTTAGGCCCACGCCTTGTGCCGTAAACGTCGATAATAGGCAAGGGGTTTGGAGAACCGTCAGGGTTCAAAACCATGGCGGGTTTGTGTCCGTACTTTCTTAAATGGAGTTTCAAAGAATGGCAATATTTGGTTTCATAGTGGCAATTTGAGCACCTGTATTGGTAAACTTTCGAATGTGATTTCAAATGAGAGTTTAGCATTGATTTGTTGACACAGGAATAGTCGCAGTGTTGGCATTTGAACGGTTTGGCTCCGGCGTGGTTCAACAAATGGTATTCGAGATGGTGTTTGTATTCGGTTACAAAAGGACATTTGGGACATTTTAGGATTTTGTCGCCTTTGATGTGAACTCTGGAGTGTTCCCAGAATTCCAGTTTGGTGTAAGCGTAAAACTCACATTGTTTGCATTTGTGAACTTTTACTTTACCGTGCGAGTTTACTTTTGGGACTCTGATGCCGTCTTCGTCGAATTCGGTCGAGTTTTCGTCGGCTGGAAGTTCTGGTTTGGGCGATACTGAACTTCTGTCATCAGAGGCGTGAGTTTCTGGTGAAGTTTTTGGATACCAATGATGTAAGGGGTAGATGTTTGTTGGGGATGCGGTGTTGGGATGGCTGTCGCTTCTGTCGCTGGCAGGTGAAGTTGACGGACAATCACTTCCTGAAGTGACTCCGGAATCGTTTCTGGTATCGTCCATCGGTTCGTTTTTCTGCAACAAAAATTAAGATAAATATTAGTCTTTTTGGATCGTAAAAAATGGCTAAATTTAGATTGTAGGATGTTTATTTATGTTATCTTGGTTTTAGGAAAAAAGATATATTGGGATAAGGAAGCGCAATATAAGATTTATCTATAAATATAGTGCTCTATATTAAATTTTGTTTTTCGAGATTGGTTTAGTTTTCAATAATGAGGCATTGGGTTGTTTCTCAACCATTTTGTGACTCATTAAGAAATAGAAAAAAACAAGTTTTGGGATCAAGGTGCTTCGGAAAAATTTTCTACTCCGCTAAAAACATAAACTTGAGCCAAATATTAAGCAATAGGCATATCTAGTAATTCCCGTATTATGCAATTATTGTTTATGAAATCTTAGTTTATTCATAGAGAAAGTTGATAGTACCTATTGATTTTATAATGGACAAAATATGAAAATTTAATGATTAAAATGCAAAAGACCTTTTCAGAAATAAATAAAATTATTACCTATCTAGTGTTTTTGACTTTTTATCCGGCCTGGTGAACGTACACTTAATATCGTTGTTGTTTTTTGGGTTGAAAACTCCATAAAACTATAGAATAATAATTATTGTTTCCAAATCAATTTTGATGAAACTGCGTAATTTGATATTAATAAAAAATGCATTTTATGCGATAATGAAAATGTAGAAAGGAAATGCTTTATCAGCTTTTATTAGCTATTTTATTCGAAACACAATTTTTCAGGTCGATGAATCATTAGTTGTAATTAATACCGCTCACCCACAGAGTAAATTAGTTTTGTTTCCGCATTGAGAGAAATCGTGAATCATTGAAAAATGAAATATTTTTTGGTAAAACGAAAGAGTCATAATCATAATATGAGAAATACCTTGAATTCTGCTGACGCAAAAAAACACAAAACAAATTTCTATATAGGTACTATCAGATTAGCAAAAAATAGAATGCTCTTTAACCCAAACATTTGCATAGCGTACAAAATTGCATTTAAGTACCTACGCATTGAATTGATTAATAGACAAAATTATGTATAATAATTCAACTTACCACTCTTGCAGCAAAAAGATGAGGCATATGATTACTATCAAACTCAGTCCAAGGAGAATTCGTTTCTTGTCTTTGCTCGAAAACTTTCACAGGTGAACTGTAACTCATCGAAGGTCTTATTCCAGTGGCCGCTGACATTTCGCTAACTTCTCCTCTCATAGCATGAGAACTCACTCGAATAATTCAAAAGTTTCTTATGAATGAAAACTCGTCACAATAACAAAAAACACACGCAACAGTTGTAAAGTATTCTAAGCGCAAGCTCGACTATCACTCATCGAAGTCTAGATTCGACTGACTGTACTAAAACCTGACGTTACTCAAAAAGCTTTAGAGTTGTTCTACTCCCACCGCTCACTAGCTCTAGCCTTTGAGTCGAATTGGCTCCGCCTTTTTTATCCCCTCTAAAGGGTGAGTTTTTGAGCCCTTCATCGGACAGTGGTTGTAAATGGGTAAAGGTTCGGTATTACCGGAAAAAATGGGATTTCGATTAAGATGATTTTTCTAAGAATTTTTTAATCAATGTATTGTTGTTGAGGATAATGAAATTTTCTTCGAGTTTTAAAAGCAATTATTGGATTTTGTACTTTGAAAATAAATTGGCTCAAATTGATTTACCATATGAAAATTCTATTGAAAATTAATAAAGAAAATTTTCATTCCGCGGAAATTATACTACAATGACTTTAGAAAAGCCAAAACGGATAATTATGTAAATGGTTATTGTTACAATTTTAGATTTTTGTTTTGCCGAAATGCTTTAATCGGAAAATATCGATGAAAAATATTTTCACTATTTAAGGGTGCATAATCATCAATGAAATTATAGGGAAGATTACAAAAAATTAGGGAAACTTATCAAATAGAAGCCATTTTCAATGTTATTGGATTTTATTTCCTTTTTTTTTATGCTTAGATTGGAGTTTAGGAGGTTTTCCGAAAAAGTATTTTCACAACAAAATATTTACTTTTCTATATTCAGGAAGAACTTTGAAATTTCATTTAAAAGTTACGAACTGATTTTCACTTTCCTAAAGGAGTCCAAAAAAGAGAAATTGGAAATTTACTATTTTAGCTGCTCCAGTTAACGAGGTTCCTAAATTTTTGCAGCTCAATTTTAAATCTATGATGGTGAGACTTTTAGAGTCTGGTTTTATTTCAGCTCTAATGAAATCTAGTTCAAACTTGAGCTCTTGGAGAGCTGATTTTAAAGATTTTTTGACTTTGAAAAGTTCATAAAAGCTGTTTTGGCTCAATCCCAAATGGACCGCATTTCAGTCATATAGATTCTCACGTTTCTCTAGTGCAAATTTCATTCTAATCAGATTTTTAAATACTTTTTTAGTTCAACGTTGATTCAAGAAAAGCCGGAAATAGGATTTTCATACATGTTTAGTTCAAATTATATCTGTGAGCCGGCTATAACATTTTCAAGCTTTTCCAATTAAATCTTTACCCTAGAACAGCTTTTTTCAAGCTTTTCCAATTAAATTTTTGCCCTAGAGCAGCATTTTTAGGCTGTTCTAATTGAACTTTATTCTACAATGGGTCAGAAATCACAGTTTTCTTCTTTAGTTCTATTTCAATTCTAGAAATGCTGGAAATAGGATGGATTTTATCCTCAAGCTCAATTTCGGTTCTATTTAAAGAGCCAGGAATAGCATTTAGTCAAATATTGGTTTCAGGCTGCTCAAAAATGACTTTCTTTTAAACCTTCACATCTCAATTTTCAGAAACTAGAGTTTACATACTTATTTAGTTTTATTTTAGCTCTACTTCAGCTCATCCTTAACTGAAGTCAGAATCAGATTTTCATAGTTATTTTGCACAATTTCGACTCTATAAGGCCCGGTGGTCGGTTGTACAAATAATGGTTCAACACAAGTTCTGTTGAACTGCAGTTCACTGTTGAACCTGGTTCAGAGTCTCGAGTGTTGTACCACTGCAGGTTTACCTGAACTATCAGTTGTAAGTTGCAATGCCCTCATCCATCAAAAAATAGACAGGGAGAGTGAGGTTAGAAAAACCCAAAAAAAGAGTTGAATTCCTCTTGAACGCCAAAATTCGGACGTTCAAAATCAACTTAAGTTCACAGTTTGAACCGGCCATGTACAGGGTGAGTCACTATATTTTGACACCCACCTGCAGCCGTAATTACAGGCGATAGGTAAAAGGTGTAAATACAAAAATTGTAACATTTTATCTGAATTGCCAGAATTTTTGATTAGATTAAACAAATGAGCAACGCAAAGTGAAAAAATAGGTCGATATTCACTTTTTTTAAATGGAATACCCTTTATTTTCTTTCAAATTCTTGAAGTTCTCGTTGTTCTGATTCAGATTATATAATATGTTAATGTTTCTTTCAATAGTTTTGGAAATATCTGGAGTTTAGTTATTCAAAGACAATAGTTTTTTGGATATATTTTACTTGATTAACCTGTTACCTGTTACAAAATATTCTGATAGGTGAATAAGTCTTTGAATAACTAAACTCCAGATATTTCCAAAACCATTGAAAGAATCAATAAGATATTATATATTCTGAATCAGTAAAACGAGAACAATAAGAATTTGAAAGAAAATAAAGGGCATTCCATTTGAAAAAAGTGAACATCGACTTATTTTTTTACTTTGCGTTGCTCATTTGTACAATCTAATTAAAAATTCTGGCGGTTCAGATAAAATGCTACAACTTTTGTATTTACACCTTTAGTCAGCGTGAACTTCGGTTCAACGTCTGTTGTACAACCGGGCCTATTATAACAAAACTAGGAATTGAATTTTGAGACTCTTCCAATTGAAAAAACAAAAATGAGCTTTTCAAACCACATCAACTTTTGAATAGTTGGAAAACTAGCTCAAGAGCCTGGAATAGAATTCATTCTATGAATCTCATGAATCTCTAGGCTACCACATTTTTAAGTTTCAGCAAACTTAGGATAGTCGGCTCTAAGGTTTTAGCTTATAATTTTTGCTCTACGAGGATCAAAGATGTTTTTTTTTTTCAAGGCGCTCTTGCGCAACTTCAGTTCATTTGTTGTTCACATCACATGGATACTCCAGTTGACTTTACAATGGTCAAAAATGAGCTTCTCAAACCGCTTTAATTTTTGAATGGTTGGAAAACTAGCTCAAGAGCCTGGAATAGGATTCCCATGAATCTCTAGGCCACTCTAGGAAACTTAGGAGTTTCAGCTCTAAGACTGACTTTTGGTTCTACGAAGATCAAAGATGTTCTTCAATAAAAGTGCACATTTTAGAAATTCCATATAGAAAGTTGCATCTGTGCAAGGAAAAGAAAAGAGAGAATTCTAAACTGAAAACACAAAGAAAAAAAATGCTGCTTCTACTATACAAAGTAGGTACCAGTCGTCAGGTTCTGATTAAAAATGTTGTAAATATTTTCATATAATGCGGATAATGAGCTCAAGTGAACTTAAATAAAATCATAAAAAATACGTGGGTCAATAGAATCAATGGATTATTTTGGTGCAACATCCCTTTATCTTGAAGGAAGCTTTTTTTTTCTTGATTGCTTTCTTTATTAACTTTTTTGTATTTTTAAATCAATCGTAAACAAAATTTTCCTTACATAACAAATTACTAATCGAAAATTCCTAATCGATACAGACGGAATACATTTTTTTTTTTGGAAAATGTGTCCATGATAAGATTAAGTGCTTCAATTGCGATGCACTTTTTTGGATGGGTAATGTGTTTTTGATTTTGCGAGATTGGAAGATTCCAACAATAACTAGTTTGATAGAAAAATAGTTTTTCCATGAGTGCTATCTATCAGTCTGATTTAATACAATATTGGGTAAACAATTTGGGAGATAAGAAGTTTGCATGTATTTTTTTTTCAAATTATTTTTTCGCCTTAATTTCTCTGGTATGTTATTAGTTAATTGGTAAAACGCCATTATCGTCGATGGTTATCAGTTTGGGAAAATTGATTTTAAGTAAACAATGGAATTTTACGAAAACCATTAAAAACGGTTTTACTAAGAGCTTTGTTTTGTTCTTCATTTAGTTATTTAAAAAATTTGCAAACTTTCTTTTCACTAGATTTTAACTTCGTCGGGTTTTCATATCCAATAACTTAAATTATAATAGATTTTTGGTACTTCTAGGTAAAAATTATTAAAACCCTTCCAAATGACAATGGTCTAGACCCATTTTGTTGGATTGATTATTCAAATTTTCAAAGTTAATAAGTTCTAGGTAAATTCAAACACCTATACCTGAATTTTTGCCAACGTTTGTTCCATTGAGATTTGAGTTGTTTATCGCATCCAATTGTGCCTTATTTGAAAATGTACACACATCAAAATAGTCTAGGGAACAAGATGCAACTGAATATATTTATAAATTGAACAAAATATACTTTTGAAAGATTTTCAAATTTTGTTAAAGCCTGCTGGAAAAGCCGATATGATAAATTTTACAAGATTTGTTCAACAAATACCCATATGGTATCTTTTAAAAAAAAATTATTCTGTCTAAAAATTAAAAGACGAATATTTCTTGTTAACTAGACTTTTTTGATGAGTGTATTTCAAGCAATAATCTTTGCATTGAATACATTTTCTAAAGTATGATTCAATAAAGCAAAATTTAAAATATAGTTATTGCCAGACATTTTTTTAAATATTCATTGCCCTTTGTGGTTTATAGACTATAATATTTTTCCAGCATAATTTATGTCACCAATATGATAAATGAATATTATATGTATTTTTAAACAGTTTTTTGCATTTTTGGTTATTTAATGCGAATCACTGCGGCCAAAAGTATATTGACCGACAAGAATTGAAATAATGTTAGAAAATCTGGAAAATATGAGAAAACTTCTAAACTAGACTATCAAACATAAAGAAAACACATTGATTTTCAATCAAACCGTGAGAAATATTAAGATAAAAATGTCTCGGCTATATCAAAAGGGGAAGAAGAAGACGACATTTGTACAGGGTGTTTTTTCATATATTGACACCCCACCTTCAGCCTTTACCTTTACAGGTAGATGAAAGGTGTAAATACAAAAGTTGTACTGCATTGGCTTTTTGAAATCCATGGTCAGAAACAAAAATTGAATGTCAGAAATGTGAAATTTTGCATGCTTTCAGCTTTTTTTAAAAGGGATGCGCAATATTTGGTTCTATATTCTTGAAGAGCACAATTTTCCGATTCCAAAATTATATCGTTTGTCTATATTTGGTTGAGCGGCTCCAACATATTTGGTTCTAAAAATTTTAAAAATACACTCAGAGAAACCAAGTACATACCTCATATTTTATCTGCA